GGAAGAAATCGAAGGGCGCCATGCTGTAATTTCCGGTACGTTCGGCCAAAGCTAGCGGGCTGAAAAACAAGAAAGAAGAGAGTTTACCGGGGTAACAAATTCCGGATTGTTTCGCTCTCCGTCACCCTGATTGCTCCATTATTTCTCCGGTGGCTCTGTCCTCTTTGCTATCTAAGCGCGAGATCGTATTGTCGCGACGAAACTCCATGAACTGTGCGGTGGAACTTTATCAAAGTGACGCGTGCAAAACAGATTCAAATAGACGAATTTATTACACTGAGTTACTGTGCGTCAAATCACAGGATATTTCGTTGTAAGTGTGACGGATCTATGAGAAATTTCAAATTCGCGAACGTGTCGTCAGAATCGAATCATTGAGAATCAACATTTTTCAAAAAACGCGAACCAACTAGTTTCGTTTCGCAGTTCAAGGGATCGAGGAATTTAGAAATCATACGCGTTCCTCAACTACCGTTCGAAAATCATTAAAAACTGTTTTCGAGTTGAATTCGAGAAACCGTTCGGGTGTTCAAAAACGTGTCCGCCGTCGCGTTGCACCGGACTAATTACCGTCGTGTGACACCACCTTTGATCCCTGCAAATTGATAATGGCGCCACCACTATCACCACTCCTGCCTGTTACCGGCAACGAATTCAATTCCGCCCTTTTCGTCAGTCCTCGCCCTCGTGGCCACGGCCCTACACCCTGCACTCTTTCCGGCGCCAACCCCAAAAGACCCCGGTCTCGTGAACACAGCTGACACGCCGGTTTTCTATTTTCTTCGCTCTCTGGCTACCGTCCGTGAGTCTCAGCCCCGTTTTCCACGCTCAAAGCTCGCCGACACGTCGTTCCCTCAAAGCGATCCCCTCCAAAAAGAACTCGCTTCCGGGGAATCCGCGCTCGATCCGTCCTCTGTTTTTTCACCCCCTCTCCCTATCCTTTTCCGGTGAAATTTAATTGACCCTTGCCAGTCGATAGAACGAAGAACAAAGGGGTAACATTCCGCTCGTAGATCCGATTGGTTATTACCTAGATCTGATCTATGGAGTCTGTGGAGAAGATTAACTGTCCGGTTAGTGGCTTTTGAAATTGATTCTTCGTTTCTTAGGTAGGTTGCCGAGCGAATGATTTAGACGTTCCTCTTGGACGTTGATGACACCATGATCGGGGGGAAGATTGATGTAATTTATCCGTAGGCTATACCCTTCGGCTCTGTTTCAAAGCGTCGTGGCCAATCTCGTTTTGAAAAGTTTCCAACGCTCGATTCAACTTGATTTGTTTTTATTGGACTCCTTCGAGTTGTCAAGTTACGAATTTTATTAAAAAGTACGATGCATTTACGAGTACGGTAGCTCAAAAGAAAAAAGATTAGGGAGCTTCGTCGGATTGTAGAGGGATAAGGTGTATCAATTATTCTTACCTGGATCCTGGAATCGGCAAAGCTAAGTAGCTGGTACGAAGCTCCTTTCTTTTACCCCACACTCTCATTTCTGTGCATTCTCCACATCCTTCCTTTTTCTTAATCTTTCAAACCTCCATTATCTTCTATCCTTTCTTCTCCACAGTTGAAACCAGTCTGGCGTTAATCTTGCAACGTATCTGCAAAGAAACACTTTTCCAGAAAGACTTTGTACATATTTGTCAGAGATCGGCCACGATCTGACCGCGGAGTTAACTCAAACCGTGGAAAAAGTGGAAGTTCAACGAGAAAATAAAGAAGTGCAGAACCTAAGACTCGAGGTAACATCTAGCTCAAAAATAAAACAGTGACGGATGTTTCTTCCCATTTCCTGTCGGTGCATTTCATATGCGGAAACCTCGTTTCTTATCACGCTTTCTGCTAGCTTCCGTTCCTTTTCTTTCCCTTTCTCTTCCTCTCTTTCGACCACTTCTGGCACAGCACCGCGGGTCACTGAAAAATAAAGAGAACCAGGAAGAAAGAGGGAAACGAAGAAATGAATTCTTACCACATTCTCACCGAGAACACTTGCACGACGAGCTCCTCTTCGCTATTACTTCTTTGAGCGAACACGGTGAATCGAGCACCACGATCAGAAGGACACTTAAAATAAATTTATCCGGGACACCGCCACCAGCACCGTCTCGATCGAACTTAAGCTTAAATGAAGCTTTTTGTGCGGACGTTTCATCCGGTTGAACGAGCAGCCTTCTCCTCCATTCAATCGCGCCTGAAAGTGAAGATTTCTGGTTAGTAGATGCTCGAAACTTTGCCGTGCAGTTTCACGAATTATTTCTCATTGAATTCCAAGAAATAATTCTACTTTTTTTTTGTGAGTGCGCGCATCACCCCGTCCCAATTAATCCCCTTTGTCTTTCTTCGAATTCCTCGGACGAACGAAGTTCAGAGAGTAGCGAAACATGAACTAATTTTCACTCGGTAATGCTACAAGCATTGTCACGAACAGATAACTCTTTCAGAGACAGTAATACAAGTCCAACCGACAGCGCTTTCCACTGCGTAAAACGTCGAACACTGTTCTCGGAACGATTCAACTTCCAACTTTCCACCGGGACAAAGTTTCAAGAAGAACGCCTCTCTTCAACCACGAAAGCTCGCGACTAATTCCCTCCAGAGTTTGTCACCTATATACCACGAGAGCTCGTTCCTCCAGAGAAAGGCAGCTGATAACCGCATTTTTTCAAAGTTTTCTTTCTCGCTGCGGACTGTTCGACTTCTGTTTCCCATTGAAACGTCGATAACATCGACAAATCGTGTCAGATTGTCCGCAGCGACGATTAAAAAGAAGAAGAAGAAAAAGAAGGAGAAGGAGAAGGAAAAAAAGAAAGACGGACTTTGCACTGTCGCGCAACGCGAAACGAGACTGTCTATCGTTACTAGAACGTGACTACGGAGTGTCGAGAGAATAAAAAGAACGAGGTGAAAGAAGAGGAGGAAAAAAAGAGAGGAAGCAACCTGAGAAACAGAAGGCGAGAAAAAAAAGAAAACGTGCGTCTCCAACCCGCTCGACTAGCCTACGCCGAATAAAACGAGACGCAAGATAGCGCTCGTCAAGGTGACGCTCGTCGAATCGTCGAAACGTCTCTGAACGCACGTTTGTTTGATTTCATTCGGGGGCCCGATTGATTTATTTGCGTCGATTTCCGCCCGGGCAACGCTATTTCCACGTATCGAACGTGAAACGCCAGGCGCTCCAGGTTGAATCGTTCGGAAAGCTGAACGCGCCCGTGAAATAAATTCCGACCGTTTACGCCGGGGTCTCCATCGTCTCCCCGGACGTTCCCGGAGAGACAAACTTTACAGTTCACGGTCGGCGGAGGTATCCGATACTTTGCGGTGGCCGCTTGTCTTGAGAACTTAATTTTCCAGCTGGAACATTTGCTGTAGTCAAATGGGAAAGAAGATACAACTATCGTCTGCAAACTCAAAAGCAATGGGATTCCGTGTGCATGTACGTACATATGTGCGTGTGTAACGTAAGGACAAGTAATACATGTTTTCCATCACGAAGGACAAATAATGTATAAGAGAATTATAACAGAGAGATATTCAAGAACACGAGTTGAGTATTTTGTTTACAACTTAGAAACTCAACTCAACAGTCACGCTGATTAATTTCACAAACTGTAGTAAATATTACTTAATCTTATCTGGAAATATTATTTTTTATGTTTCCTCTATACGATAAACGAGTGACTTGCTCAAATTCAGTACTAACGATCCGGTTACGTCAAACCAGTTGGTTGGTTTTTGTTTTCTGGTCGCTCCGTAATTCAAAAAAAAAACCCTGAAACTCTACGAACCTTCTTACTTTCTCTACGAAAACCTTCATCCTGTGAACTCTCAGTTTCCTCGAGATCGAGGAGAAGAAAATTTCACTTATTTCCAATTTTGCAAAGTCGATGCATTACGACTCGGAGAACAGGATAGAGCGAGATTGCGAGGATTTTGCCAGGAGGTTGAGACACACACTCGGAACGCACGGATTAAGGGTGGAAAGCAGCTCGTTTGTTTCCATTCGAAGCTTCACCTCCTCCTGCCTATTTTGAACGTCGATTCGATCCCAAGAACATTTACCTGTCTAGCAGGCTCGAAGCGAAACTCGAAAGCAAATCTCTGCGAGCGATAGACGTATTTGCAGAACGACGCAGTTGCAGTCTTCGAGAGATTAAATGGCGGCGCGAGCAATCTCATAGAAATTCACGTGCGGTAGCTTAATTTGGACGTTTTCGAATGCCGGCGAGATGACAGAACGCACCGGTGATTATCGTTGAATTCACAGGGAATGCCTGATGAGCCAGATAGTAGGTCTGTCAATGTGGAGATATTGAACAGTCAAAGGAAGCTATTCTGTGGAAATTAGGCTCTATGCGTGGTGACTCTTTTACGAAACTGTTGCACCAAGTTGCAACAGCGTACCATGAAAGAAAGATTTTTTTTTACTTTACGATTAATCACAGAGAAATTTCTAAATGCAGAATATCTGTGAACAGTCGCTCTTAACTTATTTGTGTAATTGCTCTCTCCTTCCTGAATTGTTATATTCAGCCAAATAATGCTTCAATATCTAATCGACTATCTGTTTCTATCTCCTAAGAGTTATTTAACGAATACTCAGAATATCAATTAAACTCGGAATACATAACTAACTAAACTATTCTATTCATAAAATTATAACTAAAATATCCTAGTTATAAAATTTACATTCCTGACGTTGTTTTTTCAACAAAAATAAATTTGTAATGCTAATAAAATGTAAATGATACAATTTTCCTGCTGAATATTTATAACGTTTTTATCACAATTTATTGTTAGTGCGAATGTACGTAATAAGTACTATCTTGCTTGAGGCGATACATAATGAATTTTTTCGACGCATAAAAAATTGAGATGGAAGGTTTCACAAATGAAACATATGAAACTGCAAGTAATCCTAATAATAAATTTAAAAGATATGACTTATTTAGAATAAGTTGATGTAATAATTTTAGAGTATACTTACTGGAAGATACAACTTACGTAATACGACTATAAAATATTTTATTTCTTGATATATCCGTTATTTTCTAGTATAAATCATTTATAAAAATCGAATCCAGTGTCTATATCACATTACCTTCTCGCCTTAAAAATTAATTGCACTGTTACAGATAGCACCAGAACCAAACTATAATATATCAAATGCTATTAAAAATAATACGCGTAAATCTTTCAAATTCCTTTCTTGAAAGCGCGCTCATACGCGATTATGTTTCTTTTTTTTTTTTTTTTTTTTTCTCTATAATGATTAAAAATCGTTGCTCACCTTTCCTATCCTCCGCTTTCTTAAAGTTGTAAAGAAAAAAAATGCAAATGAACGACAAGAGTGAACTATCGAGAAGATATTTGTGAAGACCTGAAGAGATCGATTGAACGCGCAGTTGTTGATCGATTATCATTATTAACACTTCCATAGTCTCGCAGCGAAATAGCAGTCAATATGATTCATATTGTCACGACAATCGATTTCATAGAAACGATTCGTTGGCCTCTGTCCTTAATTAATAATTGATCCCATTATGATAGTCAATCGTCGAGCGAGACTTTGCATCAGATTCTTCCTTCATTTCACGTAATCACTCTTCAATTTCGCTCTAAGAATTTTCCCGCTTGCGTTCTTTGGTATATCCTTTACAAACGTGACCCCTCCTGAAATTTCAAATTCATTTTGCACAGTCACTCACGATAATTATTCATAAATTTTTAACGAACTTTGTACTGCACGGAAATGCAAAGAAAAAAAAAACGCAGAAAACAAAGGCGAAGAAAGTAAAATATTAATAGATTGGTAATAAAATACTCCTACTGAATTATTTTAAATAACTCAACGAAGCTTTAGGTCAAATTTCAAAACATCGTAAATGCGTTGATTCTCATTTTCATACATAAAAATCTTACCTTGAAGCTGTTTGTACTCAGACACTTTGTCTTTAACGAACTCCTTAATATCTCCCTCGCTTACTTTTGAACCTTTCTTGACTACTACGAACGCTTTAGGTATCTCACCGCATCTCTCGTCCGGCAAGCCGATCACGGCAGCTTCCTGAACGTCTGGATGCGTTCTTAACACAGCTTCCAATTCAGCTGGCGGCACCTGACACAAAATATCAACTCGATAAAGGAAAACAACATTTTCAAAAATCAAAAAATTGATCTATTCCCGTGTCCCCGGTAAAAGAGAACGCAAGCAATTCAAGATACAAAAGGCGTGAGACACTATTCTACATACGATTGAATACTTTGACCCCGATTGAAAAAACTGACAGTATTTATATACATTTCGTTATATAACAAACACCAGTTTTCTGTCAATATTGAATTACTATCAAGTGCAAACCACAAGACGCGATAACGTTTGATACGTAAACGTTATAAGCTTCTGATAAAATGGTAAAGTTAGAAAAGCTAGTTACATAGTTGATACATTATCTAGAAATTCTCCGAACGCAAGTGTCATTTACCTGAAATCCTTTAACCTTGATTAACTCTTTCAATCTATCCGTGACGAAGAAATAAAATTCTTCGTTGTAATAAGCGATATCTCCCGTTCTCAGCCAACCGTTCTCGACGATCATTTCCCTCGTGGCACTCTCGTTGTTCAAGTACCCTTTCATAATGTGAGGCCCCCTAACCCATATTTCACCGGTCTGACCCTGATCAGTAATATCTTCCTTTGTAACTGGATCGACTAATCGTAATTCGCAGCCAGCAATGTTCCTCCCGATACTTCCTGGTTTCGTGCCGCTCACGTCCAGGGACACAACCGGCGAAGTCTCTGTCATTCCGAATCCTTTACGAAGAAGGAAGAAAGAAAATTACGTGTATTTCGCTGGATCTCAATTTCTTCGAGTATCAACGATTCGAAAATAAAACTTTCAGAAGCACAGTCGGCGTTCATTGATATTCCGTGGCGTACCTTGACAGATTTTCAATTGATCGTTGTTCAACTGATACTTTCGATAGAAGTTTTCCACGTCTGTGTTCGACAGCGGAGCCGCTCCAGTGATGAAGTGATGCATGTTCTCGAAATTCTGTTTCTTGAGGAATGTGGAAACGTTGAAGAACAAAAGTATCGGCGGAACTATAAAGAGGCCCGTCACCTGCAAGATGAAAGAAAAAAAAAAAAAAAAAGAAAACGACATTAGAGAAACATTTCCAGAAACGCATTCTGCCAAAAATTAAACGGAAAGATATAACATATATCCCAACGGAATTCTCACCCTGTGCTTCGTTAAAACGTCAATGAATAGCTCTGGCGAGAACTTAGGAATGGTAATTAATTTCGTACCGCAGGCAAGACGCGGCAACACTAAACCGTTAAACCCGAAAATATGGAAGAAAGGTAATATAACGGGTAATACTTCTTGGAAATCGGCTGAAAAGAAATAATGAAGCTTTTCAACGACGTAACGATATTAAACGAACGAATAATTGAATAACTGCAAGAGAGAACGTTCGCTAACCAGTTGTAGTCTTCCACAGTAGATTTTTGCACGTGTAGTCCACCATTTGCATATTAGCGACTAAATTGTTGTGCGTCAACATGACCCCTTTTGGCATGCCTGTCGTTCCGCTGGAGAATGGCAAAATGGCCACATCTTCGGGAGACGAGTGATATCTGGTTATAGACGGTAACGTTTTCCCTCGCGTGATGAGATCCTAGAAAAGAAAAGGGAAGAGTTTCGTTATCTTGGGCCAGCGTTCAAGCGAACGTATCGTATTATACGAAATACAGTTTTCAACGCCTATGAATTCGAATTCATCAATTCGTTTGGCTGCTCGACACGCTCTGATCAGTTTTAGTTCGCACCTTAAACGGCACAGTGCCCTCGGGAATAGGTCCGCTACCATCCTCGATAACCACGAAGGGTGCTCCAGATGCGGGAGTATCTCTCGTGGCTTCGAGTACGATCTGTGCAATTTCTACCACTGTAATGACCGCCTTCGCATCGGCAGACTGCAGTTGCCTCTTAATTTCATCTGTACGATAATGGAATATGATTTAAGAAAAAAGAAAAAGAAACAGAAAAAACAATCGTGCTGAATAAATTAGAGATACAGATCAAGAAACGAGTCGATACACATATCCATATACATGTACGTGCTACATGATTGAATGAAATAATTAATCCGATGTACTCACTAGACGTGTAATTAGGATTCACAGTAGTGGCAATAAGATCGGCCTCTAAAATACCGATAGCACTTAAAATCGCTTCCGGATAATTGGGTGTTATCAAGGCAACTACGTCACTCTTTCTTAAACCCATATTTATCAAACTTCTGGCAATGTAATTAGTCGCGTCCCTAGCTTCGCTGTACGTATATTTCCTTCCAGTCACCGCGCACTCCTAAAATAGTAACATCGATTGCATTAGAAGAGCTGCAATACGCAGGTAATGCTATATCTATCCAATCTTAATTAAACGTATATAAATAAATGAGGCAGTCAATTCATTTGACTTTTAGATTATATTATTAAAGTTGTCAATAAATCAAATGATTATCATATATCGACATGATTGTTTTTTTTTTTTTTTTATCATACTTTGTTTCATTAACTAAATTGTTTCACTAACAAGAAGGGGAAAAAGAATTTACGCTTTATTTACGAAAGTTTACCAGCGCAATCTTATCGGCGTAAATTTCAATGTTCTTCCAGATGAACTCATGAGTGAGCATCTCCGTGGGCGTGAATTCGCCGTACGGTGACGGGAAAATTTTTTTTCCATTTTCATCCTCGACGATTTTCTGTTGTGCCTGGGTCGACGCGTATCTCACTGACCGATTTGCAACTTTCATCCCATTCTCCGATATCTGGCCGAGTTTTCGCGCGTAACGAAGAATTTGTCTGATGCTCGTCATTATACAAACGTGAACGTCTCGGCAATTTATTAACAAGTCAACAACAACTCATCAGCAAGCTGCTAGACTTAGATGACCATGCAGAACCACGTGAAATCCTGAAAAAGAAACGGAAGAAGAGCACGATGAGATTTGTACTGCATAAGAATGAAAAATATCTAGCCGTAGAAGAGCAACGCAACGAATAACGCGTGCGATCCGATGTGTTAATTCGTGTGCCGATAAAGAGAACGAAACTTTTGAACAGAGATATAAAATCGACGTCGAGATATAAACCGCGTCAAATCTTTCGAATAAGATCTGACGATTGTAAGTTACGACTACGGAAGATGATTGATATTGAATATTAACCGGACAATGTAAACCTTCTCCCGATTTTATCGAATTTATCGCTACTGATATAACAAATATTCTACGAATTGTTTTTGAAATAAAAGTGATCAACCGTCAGTATGCAATTCATGCGTTAATAATTATGCCAAGGACTGCTGAATCGATGTCGGTGAACCCCGAGAGATGAAATCAGTTGCACTGCGAACGCAAACGTTTGCAATCAAAATGGCAAACGGCTTATCAGAGTTTATCTTGAATTGTGAAATCAGAAAGAGAAAACATAATTGGTAGTATGACAAATTGTTGGTGAATAATGAACGGTTCAAAGTACAAGGCAGTTCGATATTAACACATTTCAGTTAAGTTCCGATGTCATATCAGTTCTAAATAAATATATACGTCAGCTTTAATATCGCGGCATAAATGCAAAAGTCAAGCGTGACTTGTAAGACGGTGTTCCTCCATTAAACGTTTTTCCACGATGATAGTAGAAAAACAGAAAATCGCATTATCACGTTTACAGAATTCGTAGAATATAATATATATATCAACGAACATTGAACGTACACATAAACAAACTCCGGTATTCATAAAGAAGATGGAAGGGTATAAGCTCGCTATGTCTCGCTATGACCGATGCAGATTATGTGGCAAATCGATGCTAATTAACCTGACCAGGAAACCATTGAACTTTCTGAAAAGCAGGAGAAATTGTGCAGCACCGGCTCGGAGACTCCGACTCCTCCGCATTTGGAACGCCAGACGGTGCCTCGAATAACATTCTATGTATGCTTTCCGAGAGTGAACGTTCGCTCGCCAAGCATTGGCGGCGACTCTGGCAAATAGAGGCTAATTATTTCAGGCGTTTTCGAGCTACACGAATTCATTATCCGCGATATGGGTCCTACGGTAACGCAATAAAACGGATGGGGAGTCCCTGATAAAGCCACGGGACGTCGTTCTCACAACAAACGCAGACACGCGAATGAAAACGTCAATAGTGCTCCCGTCAATGGAACTCGAAACACTTGATCGACGATAAATTATTGGTTTTTCGACCTCTTGATCCTAATGTGGGACGATCGATTATAAGGGTTTACAATTCTCATCGATCGGTCGATCAATCTCCACTCGCCGACCTGTTGCATCGGAAAGTCAAAGTCTCTAGTTTCGTGAAAGTCGACAAACAGGCGGAAACCGGTTCAGTACAGCGAAAGTCTCGCATTTTCACCCCGATCACGATCAATTTAATCAAAGAAAATTTAATTTCGGGCGTGTGATGCACATGTCCGTGGAACCAAGAGAGAAACGTAGCAAACCTTGTGGGTCTTCCCCAAGAAGTTACGCAAATGCGAATGATTCGGGCTACTCGATTTGGTCGCCGGCAATGACGGGACGCAATTCGAAAATTCGTATTACCACGAACCGATGCAACTGCACGGAACTGAAGGAGGCTTGTTCGCTTTACTGTTTTCACTGACAGACTACGGGATTCTCTGGCAAACCATTTAACTTCTGCTCGCCTGTAGATACCATTCCCCCACCTAGCACGCTAGCAAAGAAGGCGTATACAAGGTGATCGGGAAGAGAGGATTTTGCTTTTCCGAGGACAGAATCTATAAAGAATACATTTACTGATTCGCGTACAGCCGCGCTGTTACAATACACTTCGCTCAATTGCATGCAGTTGATTCTGTGGTGATTATGAAAGATTAATTATCATGCAAATATATACGTAAGGTCGTTTCACGGTCATTTGTGTTTTTTTTTTTTATAATAATGATTCTCATGCCACGATGCACAAAAAAATCCGATCGATTAGATTACGATTCGTATTTTCAACGTGACACGTACAAAATATTTTAATACATTGTATTTTGTTATTTTTTGTTACCTATCTCTAAATTTCTTCGAATCGAACACGATATATATAATTGTGATAATACATTATTAAATATAATTATCACTAGACTGCGTTTACGTTATTAAATATAATTATCACTAGACTAGCGTTTACGTTCAAAGAGGTATATAATGCACTTTTGTAGTGTAAAATAAAGCACGCGTTACAATATTTGCATTAAATTAAATATTTCGCAATTAATTCATTCTATACTTTAATTACATACGTTTATAAAACCACGATAATGCTTCGAAACATAGAGTCTACTCTTTACAGCGTAGAGTACGACATTTTTCTTTCAGACAAGATACAAAAATTACATGATTAAAGTCAGATGGTTTTGCTATTTGCATTATATAACAATACTCCTACACCGAAAGGAATTATGCATCTCGGTGCACAGTTCTCGATGAGAGGGGAGGGAAAAAAGGAATAAGAAAAGTCGCGTCGATGTCTCCGGCGGTTCGAACGATACAAAGTCCAATTCTCGATCGTAAAAACGTATCCCGTCTTGCCATCTGGCGACAAAATTCCGTCCCTTTGGACGGTTTATCGTTCGTCGACAAAACGAACACCCTATAAGTGAATCTCGGACAAGCAAGCTTGTTGCATTTATTTATAAACATACGGCAAAGCGATTCGATCGTGAAATCAACGTCGATGACCCGATAATATGACACTCGTCGACGAGAACTATAATATTTTTTCAACGTTCGTACGCCGTTCGCACTTAATTTTAATTATTGCATCCGACACGTTGTCGCGGCGTCGATGCGTCGGCGCGTCGTCATCGACGCCGACTCCGACGTCGCGTGCAGGTCCGTACAACGAGAGTCACGAAACACGCGTCAAAAAGGAATTTCAACGAGCAATTCGAAAAGGCATGTCCATTCTCAATGAAACGTGAATCACGAGTCAGTCATTCGCTCGTCGGACACGTAAATTAAACGTTAAAGCGTAGTTTAACGAGTACTATCGGTTATCAATGGACAAAATATATGTTTAACAAATTCCATTATACAGGATTTATGACAAAGTCTAATTGTACAAAATGTACAAAATGAACGGTATATTTAAACGTGCGTAACACGGTAAACAAATTTTCATAAATACGGAACAATTTCGTCAAGTTAGTTAGTCACTAAGGCGGATTAGTTGTAGATATCGAGCACCCTAGAAATAGTCACCCCTGTTGGCAAAGGTAACGACGACGCCATGTCGACGTTCACCCCTATAGCTGATCCTCGCTGCAACCCCCGTTACGTCCCTAGTTGACCGTGAATCGCGAGCAAGTATATCGAGAAACGGGATTTTGCGTGTTACAAGTTGAAACGCCGAGGTTATCGCCGAGCACCAGGTCACTGTCGCTAGGCGAATCTGTGCTATGAATGAAGACCCAACCCTTTCATTTCGAGGTAATTAAAAGAGAAAGTCGGCCAAATTGACAAGTGTTTGTATCGACAGGCGGAATGGTCATCGTCTATTCGTCACGTCAGCGAGATTGCGTCATTACGAATCAATTTTTTCCACACTTCGGACGTGAGACGATCGGTTTTTTTGCGGGAAAGCGTCGTGCAAAACGGAGGAACAATGACTAAAGCGATCAGAGTGCGTGAAAATTTTTCCTTCCATGCCTGTTTACTAGCGATCATTTTGCCACGTTCGTACAAATATTCCACGAGACGGGCGACCAGAAAGACATAACGAACGTAGAACGATAGATAGTACGAAGTTGAAAATAATTATGGCACTATGGACGAGTGCTTCTTGCACAAACGAACGACAATGATCTAGCTGAACGTTGCTCGTTCGAACGCAAGAAATGAAAGGAGGAACAAGTAAACATGTGTGTTTTACATTTCGCAGGTCTTGATAGTGTTACTCTTGTCTGTAATCCCCTGGCCAGGACCCAGCGTCTTTAAAATATCATGCCCCCGCGATCGAGCGTCCGTGGTGAGGAGGATAGTGCAGAAGGTAAAGATGATGCTCGAGATTTTCGCGTTCTCGATCTGGCGGATCACCGAGGCAAATCCTTCAACTTTCTTCTCGTGGTTTCAGAGATGGATGCCAATCCTGAAGAAGCATCAAGTAGAGCTGCCGCTGGAGTGTCCGTTCCACGAAAGTCGAGACATTTTTCGGCCCCAGCAAAGGGCGAAACATCAGCACAGACCGTCACAATGGACTTGCGGCCTGTGCGGCAAGTCTTTCTATGCAGAAAAACACTTGGATGCCCATTTCGATAACAGACACAAGAGTAACGTTAACACGGTATATATTTTTCTTTTTCCGATACGTCAGAACAATTATTTACTTGATCTACAACTGCATAAAAAAATTGGAGATGATAGAAAGATAAATAGAACTACATATAGAAAGATAAATTAGAATTATTGCTGACTTGTGACATACACGCGACAAAAAACTTATTTGTATATATATTAATGCCTAGACTACGTTACCAAGACTAGATTACGCGTGTTGTACAACTTTGTTAATATTGTAAGACAATTTTCAATTTCCATCTGGTGCAGAAAATCGTAAATAACTTCAGATACCAATGAGACCAATTGCCAAGTGAGTCAATTATAAATGAAATTGTTTGGTGGCCAGGCGGAGGACGCGGTGTGCCTCGCGGATTACTGCGACATCATGAGGTGCGACGTGCTGGGTAACCGAGACTTCGAAAGTTCTCTGGTGGACGACGAGGCTGGCCACCACAGCACAGACATACAAGTCTGGAAAGAAAACACGGAGCAACGTTCCACTTCTGTGATGCCTTGTGAGTCGCGAGGCAGCTTCTCGAGGACGTATTCGGTAGAAAAAGCCTGCACTATAGGCGGTGGCGGTGCTGTCACCAACATTCAGCAATACTGTCATCGAGAGGACAGCGGCGCTTTAGAGAATCATCGTCTGCCAGGGACGGCGTATCACGTGGAAATCGCTGGTCCTGATAACAAGAGCAACGCCTGCGACAATGACGAGGAGGACGAGGACGAAGAGGACGACGAAGACGACGAGGAGAACCTTGTGGAAGCGGCATTGCCAGCCGTCGATAAGAAGAGGCGTAAGGGGTTGCATCTGAGGAAGCTGAAGGCCAACTGCAAGCCGGAGGAGCTGCAAAAGCTGAAGTTGCAGTGCGAAGTTAGTTGATTGTAGTAGGAAGATTGTAAAAGATTTTAACGAGGAACAATCTGATTTATTTCTCGGAAAATCTTGAGAATATCTCGATAAAAATTTGATCTGAAAAAAGCCGAGCGATATGAATAAGTGGACGACCTTTTCAATCCGATAAGAGGATGTCTGCTCGTCAGAGAGAGGAATAATAGATATCCTTCTCGTGGTCTTGTGATCGAGATTTTAGTCCTTTGTGGCACTCAAGGATTTCAGAATGTAAGATTATCGCGCAGATAGCAAATATGAGGTAGCATGTATTGTCTTTGGAAGCTGTAGCCTTTATGAAACGCTTTCACATTTATTGACAATTCCTACAAATAACCCTGTCTTTTTTTGTAGTATATTCGAAAAAAATTTAACCAATAATCTGGGCTGATTTGTGTAACATAAAACAAATAATCGCATTTACGAGGTTCTCGTAAGCTTCTTCTACATCCAAATAAAAATATCGCTATTAACACAACCTTCCACATAATTCGTAGATTAACAGCGTTGATTAACACAGTTGATAAAGAAATGAATAAGTAGTAGTAAATTGTCGTATAGGATGAAATAGCTCGTATCATAAATAAGATAATCGTTCATAAACAAGATAAATGTTGCAAAAATATTATCGTTTGAATAACATCAACAGGTATTGATCCGCGATTGTATCGCTGGACTTCTGACGAATCTTTCGGTACGAGATTTCCAGGAGATCGAAGGTAAGCAGATTCGATCAATTAGTTTTATTTATAAAATTGTATTTACGAGTGTCTCTTTCCAGGAGAATTGAATCGTGCGATATGTTGGTACCTCAGCTGCGACAGATATTGGGAGGACACGAAAAGGCAACAAAGACACACACCCTGGTACCTGTTAACCATATTTCTGATAGTTCTGTTCTCGTCGATTTACGCGTGCTACTACATTATTTGGGTGCTGTTTAAGTACGTACGTTGGATCATATTTATTCATATCAATGTTGTTTCGCAGTTTATCGTCGACTTTTATTTACATAAATTCAAGCAATGCGATAAAAGGAATTATCAGCGCGACGACTGTCGTCACATATGCAGCCGTGCATGTATAATTAAAGACGAGAAACCACGTAACGGAAATAACTGCAACAACAATGATTCGCCTATTCTTTTCACACGTAATATCGTTTGAAAGTATCGTTTCAATAATCGGACTTTTCAACAACTTAGAAACATCTGAATAAGTTAAATAAGTCAAAAATATCTCGAAAAGTACGACGAATAGCTTAGTACGCTCGTTTTACACTTGACCGATTTACCGAACAAACTGATACTACCGCGACAAAAATAATATCCGATATTATTATGACAGTTCAACTCGAATATGTTAATGTCAAATTTAATTTTAGATATCGTCGTTGTTGTTCAAACTTTATTCGTCTTATTCAAATGAGACATGATTTTCCTATTAATATTACAATGATTCACCTGCATTTGCATTTTATAGTTCAGCGGAAGAAGACAGGCTGGACGGAACCGGGAGCTTAGATTACACGGATGGAGATCTCACGGCTACGTCCTCGTTACACGATCAGAGTGGTCCTGGCGAAAGTAGATCCAGCGGAAGAAGAAAAGGTGAGCCAGGGGACGATAATTTGCCTTCGAACGAAGAAATGCCCGACCATTACATATACGTAACCTATCCACCAGAGCTAAAGCAGCGATTACTGGACAGGTAAATAAGATGAGAAAGGATGAGACTATTTTATGGAACATTGATATCGAAATCGTACAGTGATCCTCCTGGTTGCAGCTGCTACAACAGAACCACTCGACTTTAAAGTCGAAGAGATAGGAGAAGGTTGGACAAAGATTCGATCGGAAACACGAGATACAGCTCGCCCGATTCCACGAGTCAGTTCCATGGCTGACACCACCTTCTTCCTTATTTTTCCTCCACCTTTAATCTTCGTGTTTTGTATACCAGATGTGGGAATAAATTGCAAGATGTACACGAGAAAAGAATTCGTTGTTAATATCTCTGTTCGCGTCCTTTACATTTCGTTTCAGCCGATTGTCTACAGTAAGATTAATACTTAAGATAAGCTCGGAACCCATTCGATCGCGAATACTAAAATCGATTATTCAGATTGAATATTTCATCGAATTGCCCCGATCATTTGTACGAGCTTTTTCTTATGATATGTTATACAAGGAAGCTTGTATAAAAGCGATTGGTTCACGCGTAAAAAGGAAGATACACGACGAAACCCTACAGGCAATGATACCTCTCTGGGTCGATAGTTTCGGTTTTATTTTGAAACTCAAAGCTCGATTCAAATCTAAAACCAATAAGTCATCTTAATCGATCCATCGGAATCCCGCTGCGTGTCCATCACGCTGGACTGTCGAACCAACCGACGCACGCTCGCATTGCTCGGTCTTTGTTGATCCTCCAGCAGCCTCTGAGGAATCGGTGCCTCGGGAACTTCGTGCATCTCCACGGTCTCTCGGATCGATAAATCTTCGTAAGATGCTGCGGCCGACGATGGTCTAAAATCAGCCAAACAAGCCACTCAAGTCAATATGTAAGAGAGATACAGTGTTTGTGTGTTTTAATAAGCAGATCGTACTTGATCGGGACGCAACGAAAGCAATCAGCACATGTCCAATCTTTCCCAAACAATTCTCCTTCCTCTACGGTCTGTGGTAATCGATGATGCAGTGTCTCGGGTAAACGGAGGCCAGACAGTCCGCCAATTACAGACACCACACCGAGGATCACGAGGGGCAGCACCAAGTTCTCCTTGCCCTGCGCGAAATGACGTAAATGCTTGGAAGATTTGTCTGGCTACAGACGCACGATAAACATATTTGCGATAACTTACAAGATATGTAACAAAAGGAATGATTATGAGACCGAGACCGCTGATGTAGGCTGAGAAACCGATCGCTACGCCGCGTAACTGCGTGGGGTAAAGTTCACCGGCGAACGGATATATAATTAGAAAAGAGGCCGATATCGCGGATTTTGATAAGAGGAATAGAATTAGCGTAGCCATAACTGCGTCTGTTGAAAAGAAAAAGAAACGGAATCATTGAAATTTAAAAATTGCAATTTTCTTTCTTTTTTTTTTGTTTATTTTATTTTTGTTTTCTTTTTCTCCTGTCGCCATCGTCTCTTTTATTAGTGTGATTTAGTACCGGGTGACAAAAGAACCGTGGCGATGCACGACACGCCAGCCAGTACCATGCATAAGCAAAGAGGCCAGCGACGACCCCATCGATCCATCACCACCCAACAGGCCATGTAACTTGGAATCTCAGCCAACGACGAGAAGAAAAAACTCAAGTGTTCCTCGTTACCCAATGCTGGTCCGTAGTAAGATAATCCAACGTATACCATGTTGTTGGCGAACCTAGGAAGAAAAGATAAAAATTCAGACTGATTTATTTCGTCGTTATCAGTCATGTGTATGGTCGATAAACAATGGTGAATAAAAACGAAAACATTGCAAGACGTATTTTGCCGATTTGAATATTCACCGATTCATCTGGCACTTAAATTTCTATTTACCAATTTAGAGTGATCAGGCTCGTCTTTAGACGCATATTAGGTGTTTTAAAGAGAGATAATACACCGGGCCCGCTGCGTAATCTCTCCTCTTCACTTTTGGACCGTGACATCATCATTCGTTGCCGAAGTTTTTGCGTGAAAGAGATCGGTAACTCTTTCCCGTTTACTTTGGCCAACCGTTCCAGGATGTCGTTCGCTTCGCCTAAGCGACCCTTCGCCAGCAACCATCTCGGTGACTCCGGCAGGAACCTGGAATCATCTCAGACGTTTTATTACGGCGGAAAGAGTGGGGCAGAGTGGTAAGCAATCACTCACCACCAGTAGACGATATACAACAGGAAAGGTGCACTCGTAGTTAGAGCAAGCGTTCTCCAATCTCTTATCAAATAGGTCACACCAGCCAACATACACAATCCCATTGTGTAAAAGCTGCACGTCATCACCGTCACGAATGATCGATAATTTGGTCCAACCAGTTCCAGAGCTGTTTGTAAGAAATTGGAAAGAAATTAGTCTCTCGTTCCTTCAATAAAAAAAATCATTTCCCGTATCGTTATCGTATGCCCCGGATTATTTTTCTTCGACGAGTCTTACATATGATGAAAGGTATTTGGTAAATGGCAGGAATGGTCAGGCCGACGACCACTCTGGTAGCAGCCCAGGTCCAAAAGCTGTTCGACATCGACGTTAAAAATCCACCGGTTATCAAAGTCGCCAGGCACGTGAAAAAGGACAATCTTCTACCGATTCTACGCGATGTAACAGAAACAATGAATCAATCTGTACCTACGTTTCTAAACTATTGTTCGTTACCTGTCATTTAAGGTACCAAAGAGATACACCCCGATCGGTCCTCCCGTATTCAAAGCCACCAACCCGATGGTCGGGTAAATCGCGTGATCGCACACGAGATCGAACTGTAACGTTTCAATAGCAATTAATTACAAAGCTGAACGATCGTCGTTACCGAAACATGGAAAGGTGAACATACATCGATAACGATGGAAGATTTCACTTCTGTAGTTTCATACTCCCAACCATGATCGCATGGAACAATGGGCCACGATGTGTTTGTCGTCACGACAGAAACGTTTTCCGCTGTCCAATCGATATCGTATCGTGTGCATTGACTGTACGTTTCATTGTCGTCCTAATTATGAAAGCGATGTTACAATACTGAGAACAAATAGCATGCAGCTATTGAAGCAAGCGTTGATACTCTATTAGGGGTAAATGGCGCTTTCTCTACATTATTAAGATAGAAAATCTTGTTGGAAGTATGAGAAACAGGGTTTGCTGGCAAACAGCAGAGATTAACCCGGGATTACCTGGGAGTCTAGTTCCGGGATGTATCTACACTAGACTCCCACGTGAGTAATCCCGGGTTATTAAAATTATAAGCCGATCCTAAATCTTATCGACTGCCTAACTTACTAATAACAGCAGCAATTAAAATTTACAGTCATTCCTACAATATTTAGGATATAAAATACTTTTCATTATTACTTTCGTCGAAAGCTGATGGCAGAATTATGGATGTTTGAACAATTAGCTGTTGAATAATTCAGAAATGGAAGAATTGGCGCATTCAACGAGCAACGAGTTAATTTTACTAAATAGCTTGAAAAAAAAAATCCTTTAACTGTCTAAATTCTTCCCAACAAAAATAAACTAGTGGAGATAAGTGTTAACACCCAGACCAACAATTGCACCTGACTGATAGGAATCGCGAGTTTCTTTCTGCGGAAGACATCGAGGTTCTCCAACCCCGGTACTTTGCACCAGTGGGGTGGCGTGTCGGCCATGAAGAGCTGATTGAAGGCGCAAAACCCACACGGAAGACACGCCGGGAGACACACAAGCCAGAGAAGTTGCTTTTGATAACGACCGAACTCGCCGACGATCGGTAAAAGATCATCAAGATCGAAGCCATCCTACGAAACTCACGTCTCTTAATCCCAATGTAAATCTTCTTTGACAATCGATCAAAACGCGTTATCCGATTAGATATATATCATAAACAAGATGACAAGTAAGAAACGTTTGAACGAATCACGTAGTAATCGAGAAAAATTTTAGTCGATTAGATAAGAACAGAGAACCTTAAGAACAAAGTTCATCGAGCATCGATGAAAATTGTTTTGCGAATCTTGCAAAAGATATAATTACTTACTTCGTCATCCGTGTTTTCCGTCGTCTTGGCGTTCGGTGATCCTGAGGTTTGATTTTCATCCAGATGCTCCATTCTCGTGAACTTTGCCCGCGCTCAGGCTACCGAAACTTCGCCGATACCTTAGAAACGCGTTACGTGACGTGTATTAACTCCCTTCCGATGGCAATGCAACCGACGTGCCATTTGTTCCATCCTGCTACGTCTTTTTCTTTTTCACCCTCGCGCGATCATGACACGAGGGTCGTCCCTCCGAGGTCGTCACGAACCAGAGACAAAAGTATTTAGATAGCGTGTGCCAGCTCTTGCAGTAGATTTAGCGAGTTCTGGTAGGAGGCCAACCCAAAAGCAATTGGATGAATTAGAAAATTTGATCGGTCACTGTCGATCAAATCCACTGTTCGCTCAACATCTTTCAAAAAGCGTGCCCTCTCGACAACTATTACTCTTCTCTTTTCAAGGACACTCACTTCGTCAAACGTCTCATCGTATCAAATGAAAGGACATAAAGCAAATAAATGAAATGAAGTCGAAGAGGTCTGCGAGAGTTACGTGTGTGTATGATAATTAGCGTATATAGCAGAAAATCAATTCAAATTAATGGTATGGTACGTGCTAGTTTTGTCAATAAAGAAATAGTGCGCCGCGTCCCTGGAGTTACTCCGGAATTTTTATGACGAATACACCGATTTTGTTCATCTCTCAGATATAGTGCCTCAAGCTCGAGCCACTGGCTTCTTTTTGTTCGTTCGTGAAAAAAAGAGAAACATAACAAATAGAATAGAACTCGTACACGCACTCGCGTTTCACGCGCGCGAAAAAGAGCAAATGCAGACGACACGACTTCAGAGGCGCGTGTCACGGGGTGTGCCCTTCTAATTCAATTGGGTTAAGGGTACTTAGAGAAGATTAGGAACAATGCTGACACATGCTGCATGGCGGCCGCGTTTCATTCTTCGAACACAACGCGTGACTTTTCGCGTCATTTTCCAATTTTCTATTCATTATTCATCGGCCAAGTTCTATAATTGAGTTTCAACATCTTACGCTCATCAGACATGCGATTTTTTTCACGTATTTCATACAATTTCCGTGTAACGTTTTTTGTTTACTTGCGTAACAAGCTTCGTGTCTTTTGCATTTCATTAAACGAATTCTGATTCACAGCAAATATTAAATATCAGTAGCGTCGTTGAACTACGTTCTCGATATTTTTATGCAATAAAAAAAGATCACCGCTAAATTCTTGGGTATCAAGAGACCATACGGCTTCGTTCGAATCCGCGGTAATCCAATTGATGAAGTAAAAGAAATACACAGGCAATTGTTCGTGTTTTCAATCTGTACATATCGAGCCTCGGTCGACCGATAAATTTTCCGCGTTTTCATTATGAGATTATTCTTGACGACGATATCGGAAACGATAGGTCAAGGTGCGTGATTATCGAAAAAAAAAAAAAAAAACGAAGTAAGAAAATAAAAGCTCGATGCTGGAGCGACGACTGGTAATAATGGCATCACTACGTGTGTACAGATTCAAAATGAATTTTTATTTTGGACAATCTCGTTTTGTCAAACGCTAAAAAAAAAAAAAAAAAAAAAAAAAAGGAAAGAGAAAAAAAGAAAAGAGAGGAGGGGAGTATGAAAACCATCCATCACCAGCGATAAACCTGGCGCCGTGCCACGCTCTGAACCGCTTTAACGAGACTTCAAAGACAGGAACTTCATTTGCCCCGTCGCGTTTTTGTTGCGTCCCTGCTGACGGAGAGACGCAACAAGAAACTGGAAGAAAAAAGAGAAGGAAAAAATGAGACGAAGAGAAGAAAATCGTGTCTGAATAATCGTCGATCCGAGTCGAGACATTTGTCGACCTTCAAGCTACAATGCGAACGAAACGAAACTACTCAAAATGACTTGAACTCAGAGAAAATATATAAAATTCGGCCTCGATTTATTAAATCGACCTCTGCTATGCCAATCTCTTTCCCAAAGAGATATCGTTTGCATCGTACAGCACATAGGAAAGGATACTTTTTGTATGCGAATCGTAAGAATTCAAAATTGCAGGGAAATTTTCAGACGACTTGGATCCTTGAAATTTGTCGTACGATTTTTGTTCGACGTTTTATTGAACAAATAATTCAACAAATTGCAACATTTAATCCTTGCATTCAGAGTTCGATAAAATGGCAAACAAATTTCGAGAGAGACATAATCGTGAAAAGAGAAATTTTTTTCAACGTTCTCAGAGACACTTGAATTTTTACAATTTTCGAGGGAAAATAGTATCTCTACCTTACGACTCGCTGCACGATGTGAAAACATCTTTGAAAAGAACTAACGCAGGATTGTTAAAGTGGAGGCTTCACGTTTGAAAATCGAGGTCAATTGGATTTTCATACAACTTATTTTTATGAAGTTGTAACAGTTTGAAGCGCGGAGAATTTTCCATCGTGGACGCATTGACGAATTGAACGACCACTTCTACTAATAGTATAAACCTCAGTATAATAGTAATAAATACTACTACTGCTACTGATGATTATAGCAACAAATTAAAAACACAAAATAAATGGACTAGGTTACTTTGTGTTTTCGAAACGAATCCTTGAAGACCTTATTGTAGAAGTAACAAACTATTACTGTAAAGAATTATAATTACAATGAAGATGAATGACAGTAATTAACAATAATAACAATAATTAACAACAGAAACCTTGGCTGGACAAATTCTAAAGATACCGTTGAACAAGTTCGTTTTGTATTTTTAAAACGCGCTAATAAAAGGAAACATAACCTCAAAGAGATTCAGCGGAAGAAGCCCAAGAGAATAAATTACTATTGGAATTGCAATTGTTACAAAATTCTAAAGCTGAATGACAATGAAAATCTTGACAAATTCTGTAGATAATAAATAATAAATACCGCCGCAACGATGATAATAAATGAAAAAAAAAAAAATTACAAACAGATGATGGCACGCTACGCCAAAATGGAGATCACTGGAGGAAGCATTGCAGAAGGGAACGAACAAAAAAAAAAAAAAAAGAAGAAGAAGAAAAGAAAGGGAGACAACGTAAAATCGACGAAGCTAAAGAGGAGGATGGGAGGGTGGATAAATTGAGCAGCGGCGGCGGTGGGTAGCGACGCCAAGGGGCGAGCAACGCTTTAAGAGCTTTTAAGCTCGGCGTTAAGCCGGGATTTATTTCTGACCTGTTTACAACCAGGGAAACAATTGACCCGGGCGAACGTCTTTGGCCACGGTTACACGGCGGCAGCGTCTATCTCAAGTCAAACACCCGAAAGAGGGAGGAAAAAAAAAAAAAAGAAGAAGGAAACACACTCTGGACCCTCGAGTTTCGTTCTCGACTAACGCCCGGAGCCGCTCGCGAAAGACACGAGCGTTAAACGAAACAAACCTCGGGGTGTCGTCGTTATCTCGCGAGCCCGAAATTATGGCCACGTGTTTCACGCGGAGGAAACGCGCTCAACACAAGGCTAACGTTGTCTCAAATTTCGTTTAAAACTCTGTCGTCCGGCACGTTTTCACTCGTGGAAATTTGGTTCACCTGAACTGGGCGGAGAGGTCACGCGTTTCCTGTGACGTTCGCAGGTTAATACGTACGTAAGAATATGAAAAAATATTTTTCTACAAGAGCATATACATCTCTTGTACTACCTACTTCGTTTAATTTAACTTAATTGATATCATTTAATTGAAGGGTGAGTAGGTTTCAGGTCTTCCTCGTAGAAGGGTTCGGTTCTGGTTTCGAATAATTAATTCTTCGGTATTAAACAATTGTTATTAACCTGCGATTTATTTTCAATTGCGGCTGATTATTAAATGTAATTTCGTGACGAGGTCTGAATGTTTGTTTTCTGATTGATCAATCTCATTTGCGACGAGCACATTTCGATATTAGTCAAGCCAAACATTCTTGTATATTTAAATTTCTCGCAAATATATGTATTTAAATAATATTTGATATAATAATTAACATACGTCTGATAATGCAGCGTGATTATACATTTAAATGATCTCCAAATCATTTTGCAACAATCATGAACGCAGTGCTATGCTATAATCATCACAATTTGAATTTCAACGAACCAACTCAATCAATATAACCTTCTGATATAATGTAAAAATTCGACACGACATGAAATTTTGATTTCAATTCAATGAACTGATTCGACATTGCGACGAACATACTCGTCTCAACGAACTCACGATCATCTTCTAACCTTCAAATCGATGAGCCGACGAAACTGCGAAGAGGAACGAACTCCAAACAGCGAATCCGTCGAACGTTGTTCCTCCTCGATGGGTAGGGAACAATGTCAGGCATCCGGTGGCAGGGAACCTTTACACGTAACTTGTTTCAGAAACTGAAAGTAATTTCGCGCTGATGCATTCACCCCGGGATCAGCCCGAAGACGAACGAGGGGGAGTAGGATTTCCGGTTGGCCTGGCCCCCAAGGATATAAATCGAGAACTCGCCGCGTAAACGTAAACCTATTCACCGCGTAAATGTACCATAATCTCCTGCAGCGGGTCGGAGGGGAGGGGGAGGGGGAGGGGGAGGGAAAGGGGATGATGTCGCTGCGCGATCCTCGAATGCTAACTGCGACACCTAATCTCCGAGCTCATACTTCCTTAATCTCGTAGCTACCGTCCCAACTTAACAATAAAACTCGCGGATGAACGCGCGTTGGTAATCGCTGTTAACTGCGTTAACTTCGTCGATGAACGACGAACATGTATGATTTGGCTTAAATCGAGTTGACAGCGATATTTGTCTGTCATTTTCTGAGATTTTTCAGTGGATTTATTTTTGGAAACTTTGTTCTTCTTTTTCCTTTTTTGTTGTACTGTGTTAGAGGAAGGGAGTTTCTATCGTTATATTAGTTCTTCAGTAGGTGTTTCAACACTTTCTGCTGTATCATATTGAATTACATGTACCACATGTGTTTTATATATTATATAAATTATTATACTATATTATTTTTATTATATTTTTTTTATATTATATTTATTATTTTTATTGTATTAGTTTTATATATTATAAAATTATTATACTAAAGTAGAATACCTACTATTTTATTATTGTACTTTCTGCAATATCAAGTGGTTAAATTGTAATTATATTAGTTTTATATATTATATAAATTATCATACTAAAGTAGAATACCTACTATTATATTATTATATTTTCTGCAATATTAAGTGGTTAAATTTTAATTATATTAGTTTCATATATTATATAAATTATCACACTGTATACTAAAGTAGAATACCTACTATTATATTATTGTATTTTCTGCAATATTAAGTTAAATTTCAATTGTATAATAGTTTTATATATTATATAAATTATCACACTATATACTAAAGTAGAATACCTACTATTTTATTATTATATTTTCTGCAATATTAAGTGGTTAAATTTTAATTAAATTAGTTTTATATATTATATAAATTATCACACTATATACTAAAGTAGAATACCTACTATTTTATTATTATATTTTCTGCAATATTAAGTGGTTAAATTTTAATTAAATTAGTTTTATATATTATATAAATTATCACACTATATACTAAAGTAGAATACCTACTATTTTATTATTATATTTTCTGCAATATTAAGTGGTTAAACTTTAATTAAATTAGTTTTATATATTATATAAATTATCACACTATATACTAAAGTAGAATATCTACTATTATATTATTATATTTTCTGCAACATTAAGTGGTTTTAATTTAACAAGATTTATAATCTAAACACTTTTTGTTACATCATATCAAAATACATATTACATTACATTAAATGACACTATTACATATTACCAAATTAAACGGTATGACACAATTAATAAACATATAATATACAACAAATCAATAAATATAATTTCACATGTAGTTATTGCAGCTGAAATCTTCAATCGAATCATTAATACTTCACGTTTCTGCTCCCCAGTGTAAATTTCACACCGGAGCAACTTGCCTTCTCTCTCAACGTAACGTACTTGAACCAAAATTTCCATTCCTTCGACAGAATGAATTCCCGAGAATTAAATTTATCTACCGTCGTTTCGTTGAGCACGGAAAATTTTCAATTTTCAAAAAGAAAAAAAAAAAAAGAAAGAAAGAAAGAACAGACTGACGATGATCCACTAACGTGATAATCCAACGGGAGGATCGATGACTCCAACTAGAGTCCACCGGTGGTGGATTTATGGTGCCGGTTCTGGGACGTACGACTACTAGGTGGGAACAGGTGCGCTATAAATCGAATCGTCGCGACTACGGTGTTGCTCGATCGGTAGGGGGGAGTGGATGGTGGAAAAACTTCCGTAAATTGTAACTGATATTTCCAACTAAACTCGTTAAATCGCGGATATAGTTCGCAACGTCGGCCGTTACTTAGCCGAGCGAATAAAACGGGCGGCGGGGGCGCGTTTCCGTCTCGGCCATTTCCGTGACACGGCCGAACCGGTGGCGGAGATTTATCGTATCGCGATGCGTTTCGCAGAGACAAACAAGCGGCCGGCGGCGTTGTGACCGGGGGAAGATAGTT